CCCCACTTCTCCGCGCTTCTTTTTTCACCGGGGCACCAGTGCCGGAGCAAAGGCTGTTTTGGGACACGGCTAAAAGGACGCGCTGCAAACCACGGCTGGAGCAAAAAGGGGCCCCAAGCCATGGTCAGGCTGGTGGGCGTCCCCTGTCACCCTTCGCTTTAGCTGCAAACCACTCCCATCTCTCCCTATTTTCTGGCCAGGACTGAAAAATACACATTTCTGCAAAAAAATTGGAGTTTTTTTCCCCGCACGGTGGAGGGACGGTCCTACCTGACGTTCTCGTGGCGGTACATGTACATGGTGTTGAACTGCTGCATCTCCTTCTGGCTGGGGTCCTTCTTCATGTCCTTCAGCATCTCATCGGCCACGTGCTTGGGCAGGATGGAGAGCATCAGCCGCTCCTGGGGGACGGGGCAGGGAAGGGCATTCGCCACGACGCCAAGCCAAGCCCGTGCCAAGTGCAGCAACGCATGGCGCAAATCCACAGTGCGAATACATGGTGCAAACGTGCAGTGCAAATGCAAAGTCTAAATGCAAATGCATGGTGCAAATGCACGGTGCAAAGGCATGGTCTAAATACACGGTGCAAATGTGCAGTGCAAAGGCGCAGTTCAAACGCACGGTGCAAATGCATGATGCAAACGCACAGTTTAAATGCATGGTGCAAATACCCGGTGCAACTGCACAGTCTAAATGCACGATGCAAACGCATGGTGCAAATGCATGATGCAAATACACAATCTGAATACATGGTGCAAATGTGCAGTGCAAAGGCACAGTCTAAATGCATGATGCAAACGCATGGTGCAAATGCAGGGTGCAAATGCAGGGTGCAAATGCAGGGTGCAAACGCACGATGCAAATGCACAATGCAAACGCACAATGCAAACACATGGTGCAAATGCACAGTCTACATGCACGGTAGAAATGCATGGTAAAAATGCATGGCACAAATGCATGGCACAAATGTACAGTTTACACACGTGATGCAAACGCACGGTGCAAACGCACAGTCTAAACGCATGGTGCAAATGCACGGTGCATGCACTACGGCCTGAGCGCTCCCCTCTCCGTGGGGACAGAGAGCAGCAAAGTGACATTTCCAAGCTGCTGGGCCCTCGCTGCTGGCGCTGGCGTCCCCGAAGGATCCCAGTGCCCAGCCAGGTCTTCAGCCCAACCTCTCAGCCACACGTGGGGAAGGAGCGGGTGGATCAAGCCACGGGTGAAACAGGAGCTTTTCCTCCAGGCAGGGAGACTAAGCTCAGAGCGGGGTGTCCCAGGCACCCCGGGGAGCTGGGAGCCATCACCCCGACTCCAAACCTGCACCCATGGGTGGAGGGGATGTACCCAGGGGTGGCAGGTCCCCCTCGGTGATGCTCTGCCGGGGATGCCAGCCACTGCTTTTACCATTTTCCCCCCCGTTTTACAAGTTCTCATCAAGATTTTCGCAAGTGGGACTAAATCCCAGCCAGGGGATGGGAGGGTGGCAGTTTTGGGGCACTGCAGCCACCAGCCTCCCTGTCCCCGGCGCCGTGGGAAGGAGGGACAGTCCCACACATTTATTCGGACACGGGCTGATGAGCTGCAAAATTTGCTTGTGCACCCCAGATCCCTTCTGCAGGCGCGATACAGAGCCCAGCTGCTTGCTGGGAGCTTGAGAATTAAAATGCACTGGGTTGGCCAAGGTTTTATCAGCCCAGATAAACCTGGGACGGTGCTGGGAGTGACTTCGGGGTCTGCACCGATGTCCCCCAAGGTCCCTGTGAGCTGCCCCAGGGTGTCCTGCCCTGGGGATGGGTCAGGGTTGGGTGTACGGACCCGGATTAAAGCACGCCGGGGAAGGTTTATCAATTTAAAAGCGCGGTGGGTACCCCACATCCATGCACAGGACTCAAACAAGGTCCCCCAGGAGGATCAAGCCCACCTGGGGACATCGTACCCATTGCTGTCCCCGCTGGCCCTGCAGCCCCGGAGCCGGAGAAGGGATAGATCCGCCCGGCTGTGCGTGGGGATTTGCACGAAATGCAAGTAACTCGCTTAATGAAGTGGGTTTTCCCCCGGGACGCGGGGGTTCTGCGCGCAGCCGCAGCGGGGCTGTTGCTGGAGGAACGGCACCGTGTCCCCATCCCCATCCCCGTCCCC